CCAGAAATTGGGAGTAGTAACTAAAAGAATACAAACAGCTGTCTTTACCATGCAATCATCCTTGATAAATGGCTGATGTACTGGATGAAGAAATTTTATTTCTACTTATTTGTCAAGGCCATGTCCTAGTTTATTACACATTTGGATTTCCAGAGGAGCTGGAAATCCCAAGGTTGATGAAAAGATGAGTAATGGGATGTAGTAACATGACTGTGGATATCACAGGTTCATTTTCATGTATACTTCAGGCCGTTGCAACCTTAAACACTCAACAGAGATGATTTGAGATGATTTGCAGCCCTAAGTGAGACATTCAGGCTCCTCTTCCAAAATTTGAAATGCTTTGAAAGGAACTCCTGAGATACTGTCAGAGCTGCAACCTGTGTAATTCACCCAAGAATAAAATGAGGCTTGGGATGGAATTGAAACAGTCAGAAGTGTATCTGCATGATTCAGATCTCTCACTTCAGGTGAGCAGGTATGACTGCAATACAGGACAGGGTCATGAAACGTTATCTGTTCAGGCTCCAAAAGAGACAGAGCTGAGATGGATGATGCTGTACTGAACAGCCACCTCCCCCCAGGGCTAAGCGCACTGCTTCTTTTTTCACAGCCATGCTGTTTCTGGTTCTGGAGGCAACAAGTCCTCCTCGGCTCCAGGCTACTTACACAGTGCATTATAATATCATTTAGACACTAAATGAAGCAGTTGAAACCAGGTGCCTCCCTTCTCCTGAATATTCACTTGGAGCTACCTACAATCCAGTCTGAAAATATAAATGGCAAAAGTTACTCTGTTTAATATCTAATATTTCCAGCAGGAGTGTGGGAAACTCCTCATTATCTTTACATCCACATTTCTTCACTTTTGCTTAGAACTAATTACTAATTTTTCCCTACTGTGTAGGAGTAGCAGACTCCTGCTGTAGGAGGCTACGCCTACTGTGTAGGAGTAGCCTCCCTCTGTTTATGTGCAGTATTACACAGCAACATGCAGGTACTTTCTGCAAAACTGCAAGGAACATGGTGCAAATCTGAGTTAGGTCTCAGCCTATGCACAAACAGAACATAAGGTGGCTTGGCAAGTTAAACAGATCATTACCTTTCATCTGAATCTACTCATAATTGCATACTATATTATGCCTTCTTAGCCTCACAGAATTCTGGTTTCACAAGCAGAGAAAATGCCTTCTGGGGAGAAACCATGCATTTTATTTATTTGGTATGTCTAATGCAAAAAAAACCTACAACCTTATGCAAATAAACTAAGTCCTGGAAGTAGCCAGAAATCAGAGATGATTATTGTTGTAGTTATAGAAATGAGAAAGGGTTAGAAAGGAGACACTGTAGCCAATAGTTTGGGAGGTACAGCAAGTTATCTGCTTTAATTAAGAGGATTTGTTACAATGAAAGCAACAGTGCGGTAAAGAAACAGACCTCTGATCAAACATAATAGTATCTCCCTTATTTCTACCTGAAAAGTTTATTAAGGACTTCCAGAAATGTCCCAATCTTACATCTAGAGATCTGTTTCTGACTGCATCTAGAGATCTGTTTCCCATTCTGAACATCATGGGGACCAATAGGCCATGAGAAGTGACACCCTCCTTTAGAGATTCCAAACAGAGCCTGTTCCAACACAGAGTGGACAGAGAGCCATTTTACACTTCTAACTCAGTCACAGGTGTTGCTTGACTTGATTAAAAAAAAAATCAATAATCACTGTTCTGACCATGAGACTAAAAATAAAAAAGGTAAAGGGTAGCTACCCCTTAGCCTTATCCAAAGTCTTGTGAACTCCTGCAGGATGAACTGAGAAGGTCCTAGGAACAAGTCACAGTGTACTGCCACACAGTCAGAAGATGGACCACTACCTATTTTATCTACTAGGTTAGATTACAGCCTGTGGCATTGATCGTATACTTCAATTTAAGGGAAGGCAAGTTAGTCCTTTTAATCTCTGTGCTAACACGGAACCCCACTGCAAGCCTCCTGAACTCCAGCTGGGCACAGGAAGGCAGACACAACACTGTGGCCTACATTTGAGTCTTCAGGCACACACTTTTGCATTCACCGACTAGTCCTTCACCACAGTTAATATGCCCTACCCTTGCAAGTAAAATAAACCTGTATTACCTGCCTATCACATTCCCACTACTTTGTTCAGACCAAGCACCAGGATGTAGGTGTTGTGATATAGTTGTAGGGGACTGTGCAGCTGATTTGCTCCAAATCACACTAGCACAGAGCAGCCACCAACAGTTTTGCAGTTTACAGGCACATAATAAAAAGGCAACTTCTGAAACAAAGCCACACAGCTAAACAAAGTTCTCTTATAAACAGGGAAAACATAAAAAAGCTACAGAAAGTCTTACAGAAAGTTTTCTACCCTGTGAGACACAAAACAGTAACACCTATCCTTTAAACCTGATGTCTTCACTACTTGCCTTTTCCAGAGGCACGGGGTGATGGTTATACTCCTTCATTACGTATTCTGGTTTAACCACACAGCTTTTCAAAACAGCCCCCACAGCTGTGGCTCTGGATCTACACTCCCCATCACCATCACTTACAGTTACCGATGAACAATTTCACTTCTAAGCACACACACTTCCCCAACAGCTGAACTGCTCCGCAGTTTTCTGTGTTTTTCTTATTATAACTAGCTCCGTCATTTCAGTGGCATCACAGTTGAGCTCTACTCTGAAATGCAATGCTCCAGGTAGTGCTTATTTTTACTCAAGTAATTACAGAAAAAATAGTTGACACTGACATTTACCAAAATATTTCAGAGCACAAACACCACCCACTGAGCTGAACACAAAAATTCATGCCTGCTACTCTTGTTTTTCTCCTCAGAGTATGACTGATTTGACTCATGCCTGACTTTAACAAAATTTCCAGATCTTTGCTAGAACTACAGTTGGTAGGAAAAATGCCTAAACATGCGGCCAAATTTCTGCTCCTATGCCATTATTACTTTGATGAAAGGATACAGCAAGACCACTTCATTGAATTTCATAAGTTTAAAACTTTATATGCTGAAGGAAAATTATCTACTAATACATCTGAACGCCTGAAAATAACTGTTTTCATTTCTCTTGTAGACACCTATGAAAATCCCAATTTAGTCAATCTGGATGCTTTTTACTCAGAAGTGTTAGCAGTGCAGCAGCACAGGTCCTTTGATACTGAAGCTAGAGCAGGAACATTTCTCTGCCTTCCAAGAGTCCCCTGTGTGATTCGGTTACTGGTCATGACCCTGTTGTTTATTGTATATGTGGATCGTAAGAATTACTGGAATTCTTATAAATCCCAATTAAATAAAAGGTAAAAGAAAAGCCCACCTGTAATCAGACACCATGTAACTGCATATTAATGGCCTGTTCAGTGCCCTACTGGGATGTCTTAGAGTAATGCTACAGCATTATACTCAATTTCAAGAGGTCAGTAGACATTTTCAAATGAATAAAATTTATATAATTAGTTATGACTACAGCTCATACCTTATTCACAGCAAGTAAAAAAAAACACATTGGAGTTTATGTAAATACTACTAATGCATATGCTACAAAAAAGTAACTTATCTTAATTAAAAACCACCTTAATTTCAAAAGTTTAACAGAAACAGCTACACTGAGCATTGCAATCCTTCAAAGCAGAATAGAAGTTGTTTACAAGGATCCAGCAGTAATTGATATCCAGCTGCTCGGAGCTGAGCTGCCGACTGAACATGTTAAAGCTGGGCTGAAATCCCCTATTTGATGGCAGCAGGAGTCATGCTGATCTTTCCTATGAGCTGGAATTTCACCCCAGTCCTTACATTCTTCATCGGTTATGGTGGAGCAGCCAGAAGATGACGATTAGAGACTAGCCAAGTAGACTCTCAGTTCTAAAAATCCAACCTTCAAGCATCTGTAAGGTCTAGGGGAAGGAAGAGGGTGTTTCTAGCACAGTTAAAAGAAGTCTCTCTAAAAATGGGCAAGTGGTCATTTCAGCAACAGAGTTGATGGCTGGACACTGCATACCATTAATAGAAGTAAATCTGAGTTTGAGTCCTTGGTGAAGACACCATCATATTGGCCTTTAACTAGAAAAGAAGGCAAGCACAGAATGTGAACAAGTAAGCACATGTATGCACACAAGGCATTCCAGAAGCTGAACAATTTCTCTACATACATAAAAGACCTTGCTAATAAAAAAAAATAGCAAAGGTTTTTAACATTTAAATAATTGCCTACAGGAACTTGATTTCAAATCCAACTTTATACATTCTTGATAAACTGAAAGGCCTCAGCATTGAAGATAAAACATTTCTAGCACCAGCTACTGGCTTGAAAGTGAATACTTACAAAAGATGAGTATAGAAGACATGCTGTCTTTCACTGAGAAAGTGTATTAAGGCAATATCCAAAATCACAATATAGCCAGCACAGAAACTGCTCCAATGATCCCTGATACCTTACAGCACCTACACAGGTTCCACTGCTGAGGAATGGTAGGAACTAAATTGGGTGTCCGTCCTCCTCCTCCCTGCCATGTGCCCTGGAATTCTGGAAATGTCCCAACATCTTTACATCACTAGTTGACATAAAGCAAGCAAATTTCTTCCTATAGCTCCTAAATTGCTCTGTAGCCATTTATATTAGCTATATTAGCCACTATCACTGGCAAAGAAATTGGCGAGGAATTGCCATTTTTCCTTATCACTAACCAAATTTAAAAGTTGTTCAATAAGGTAGAAAGTGTTTACACAATTAATGCAAATGACAGATTTCTGAACATTTCCCAAAAGGGAAATTACTTTAACCGGTCTGGCCAAATGTGCTCCCACAGCACCCAGCTCAGGGTTGGCTTTTCTTCTTTGCTCTCAGAAAAGAGTCAATTTACTTGCATTTCCACCAAGGAGTATTTTAGGAATGGAGACAGTAATTTCTGAATATACGCTATATCTATAAAAGAAAGAGGTAAGCAGTTTATTCTCCATTTCCAGCACTTTGTGGAATTCCGTCATCCATTTTTATTAATAGTTACAGCACCCAGCTATGCAGTTAAAATGAAGAACATGAAGGATGCTATTAGAATCATTTTTGGCTAAAGATAAGGAGCAGAACTGCATCGCAACCCTACTTTTTCCATGATTTAAAGGTGTGTTAAAATATACCAAGATTTTCAGGAAATCTGTTATTTGGCTTACACAGTAAGCTATGCCTTGTGCACTGTGTTCTAGACAAAGTTGTATTTTAAAATGGTGCACAAAGTTAAGAAACTTTACATGATGCCAGTGAGTAACGTGTGCTTTCATAAATACAGTACTATACATCCTATATACAGACGCTGGATGGAAGACTCCAAGAAGGCTGTTAGCCAGCCATCCAGAGAAAGAAGGGAATGAAGATGGTGGGGAGTGTGGTGGCAGGTGCTACACCTAGGCAGACTATTGACGCTAGTCCCACAAGCACCGATGCAAGGACGCTCCTCTGGTCCCGAATAATCATCTTCACAGTCTCACAGAACTGGAAAAAAAAAATGCAAAAGATGAGATTTAAAGAGGAAAGCTTTGGCTGCAGAGCTGGTGATGCCCACTCTTTCGGGGCAGAGCAGCGGTTGCTGCCTCAGCTCTCACACGGGCTCTCTGGAGGGAAGGGAACAGGGAAGAGCTAGACTGGCACCGCATCACCCCCAGCATCAACCCCGGTACTGCCTGTGGCTCCGGCTAGAACCTGTAGCTTCAGAGCATTTTAGATGCGTACTAATTGTTCTACTAATTCAGCTTCGCTTTCCTCGCCGCTTGAAGCCAGCTGAGGCCAGGCTCGACGCCGTCCCGAGCAGCCCCGCGCTGGCGGCACTGCCCGCTGCGGGAAGAGCGGCGTCAGCCGCGGCGGGCCGGTACCCGCGCCCCGCCCGGGGCCCGCGGCGGCTGCCGGCGCAGCTCCGGGGAGCGGGGCCGCCGGGGGACGGGCAGCGCCGCCGCTGGCCGGGCCGTACCTTGTCGGTCTGGAAGCTGACGGGGGCTCCGTATCGGCAGTAGGTGACGAAGTGCTCGCAGTTGTTCCAGAGCAGGCTGTAGGCCGTGGCGCCCACCAGCTTCTCCGCCCGGCGGGCCGCCTCCTCACTGCCCAGCACCTGGTCTTCGAAGAGCCGGTCCATGTGGTTGACCAGGATGCTGCCGCCGTAGGCGAAGTCCTCCACCGTGTCCACCCGGACGCTGGCCGTCCTGGCGATGACGCCTAGGATGAGCCGCTTGTTGGTCACCACCTGCTGGATCTGCCGCCGGTCGCTGGTGATGGAGGGCAGGATGTCGGGCATCAAGTGGGCGACGCGGTTCTCGCCCAGGTATATGCCGAAGTGGATGAAGAGGGTGCGGGGCACCTCCAGCAGGTCTCCTCGCTTGAAGCAGCTGGTGTCGTAGTAGCCGGGTGCAGGCGGTGGCGTTTCCCCGCCGGAGCCCGCGGGCAATGGCCGGATGTGGACGAGGACCATCAGCTTCTCCAGCAGCAGCGAGGCCGCCTGTGGCACCGGGTTCTTCATGGCCAGCGGGTGAAACCCTCGGTGCCTTCGACCGGCCCCTGGCTCCCGGCACCGCTTTTCTAGGCTACCGGCGGGGCGGGGCGGGCACCCGGGCCGGCCCACCGGGTGAGGGGCGTGCGGGGAGCGCCCGCCCCGAGGACCGGCCGGGCCGTGGTGGGGGCCCGGCGGGCACCCGCAGCCGGCCCGGCGGCGCCCGGCCCGGCCCTCGGGGCGGCGCGGTGCCCGCAGCCTGGAGCCGCCCGCAGCTCCGCCCGTCTGCCGCCCGCGCTGACCAGGTGGAAGTGCACGGAAAAGTGTGGGTAAAGCCCTTCACCCTCCCCGGGGGTGGGAGCGAGGGGCTCCCGGGGCCACAGCCGCTTCGTGCACCTTCCCCCGCCGGCGGGACCTGAGGGGCTCCGGGTGCCCGCCCCGGCCAGCGGCGACCGGACCGGATCGGGGGGCCGGCCGGGCTGCCACGGTGCTCGCACGGCGGCGGGACGGGGGAGGGAGCGTCTGTCGTCCCTGAAAGGCAGACAGGTCTCCGAGGAGTAGCGGCAAGTCGCATTTATAAATTAATTCGCCCCAAAGGCCCGTCAGCTAAGAGTGGGAAGCGGCGGAGCGGCATTCCCGTGCGTTCAGTTTCATGCTAATCCATTATGCAAAAGCCTAAATCCTGGCAACGGAGCCCACAAAAGAGCAGCCCTGTCAGGTTAACAATGCCGCCCCGATCGGGCTCGGAAGTTTCCGTAACCAAGCAGATTCCCGCTCCTCGGGGATGGCGGGATGATGGATGGGACAGACATTAATTTTACCTGGAAGATGACAGGGCTCGGAGAGTGGCAGGGGAGGTGGCCGTGGCTGCAGCCTTTCACCGAGCCCCCGCCGCCGCGCCCTGGAGCGCTGCCGCCGATCTTTGTTCGTGCCGCAGCCGCTCCGGCCAGGAGCTGTCCCTCCGGCTACAGGGGGGAGCTTTCGCCTCTGAGACACACGGAACGGGCGGAGGGAGAGGGAAAGAGGAAGGAATATGCGTGTTGGAATGCTGGAGACGTTTGGTGGAGCATCTTCCTTTAAACTCGGGCAAACTGCAACCTCAGGATGCCAACTACGAAGCGGGGAAGCGGGAAGAGGAGCGATGGTGTGTAACAGCTTGGCAGCTCTCCACAGGCAAACCGCGTTGAAACAGTAGGTTATTTTTCTCTCCTCAGTTTCTTTAAGCTCTATGGAACACGAATGAGATCTCTAGACCACCCCAGAGCTGTAGAATCCCTTTGGTCACACCAGCAAAAGAAGAGAAAATGTTTACTATCCCTTTCTTTCCATTAGCAAACAACTGTGGTAATGATTCGGAAGGCAAAGGGGATGCAAAGGACCTAGCAGGTGAGAGCCTTCTACCCTCACAGATTCTGAACCCAGGTTCAGGATCTTGTAAACATGAAAGCTTTATTGATGAACCAAAAGCAAGTTTTCCCACTTCCTCAATAAAGAAAATATTTCACGGGAGGGGGGGTTACCTCACAACTTGTCAACAAAAAACAATGGCTGGTACGCTTCTGTTTCCTCCTGCCTGGAGCAAAGAGGAGCTTCCTAGGAAGCTAAGACTATCCTCACCTTGCTTCATCTGCAAAGAAAGAGACCCCCCATAAGCTCTTGTTCACTTGCTGATTACAGGCCAAAGCCCCAGCACTGCTAATAAGGGGATCAGGCCTTTGGGATTTTCTCTGGAGTCTCAGCCAAATTTTTATGCAACAGAGGCTTACCCCTCTCAAGACCCCTACTTCACATCACTTACAAAAGAGAAAATACCTTTTAGAAAATACCTTTTATGATGCTTGTACAGGAACTGTGTGGATTAGCCACCAGACACAAATGATTATATAATTAAACCAATGTATTTTCAAATTCAGATGTTAACATATTTGGAAGGTTTGAGGCTTTTGCTACTAGTAAATAAAAATGGGGGGAAGAGAAGGAAGAACTTCTCTTTTTTAATTAGTACATTTTTTTTAATGGATGAGAGAAAAAGAAATTTAAACACCTCATCCTCATAAAGGATCTCACCCATTTGGTGATGGTCACAGCAGGCAGTCCAGAGCTGGAGGCACAGAAGGTTGTTAGACTCCACAAAAAGTCATGGCACAGAAATGTTCCTGTCTCCCTCCTGTGTGGATAAGCACCTTTCCTGCCCTGCACTGCCCTCTCAAACCTCCCCCTCGCCCATTCCCTAAAGCTCTCTAGGGAATGTCTGGTCTTTGAGGAAATAGGTGGTAGAGATGCTTCAGTCCTACAGTTCGGGTTTCTCTTCCCTCTCCAAAGGTAGGTAGAGGAATTCAATGAACTCTCTGGCAGATACAGACACTTCCCAATGGGATCTTTCACAGGAAGGCAACCTTTGTTTGCTTTCGTCATGCCAGTTAGCTTTAATCCTAAAATCACCAGGGTCCATTTCAAGTAAATCCAGAAAGGAAACCAGGATGAAACTGAAGAAGAGGAATTGCCATGGGAAGGAGACTCGAAGTCTTACAGCATGGGAGGGTTTCAAAGTAGTAAGGTGAAAGATGTGACATCTCTGCAGTGTAATTGCATGCCTCAGGGACTGAAGAGCCTCCTCTCTCCCTCCCCCCAACCACGCACTCACTCACTCTCATGCCCAGAAACCCCAGTGAGCAAACCAAAAGGCATTACAGAACCAACAGATCTGTGGAATCCACACAGGTAATGAATACTTTGCCACTACCTTGCAATTGTTGTGAGCATTACTGTGTGCAAAGCACTTAATACAACATATCAAAAGTAATTCCTGAATTAAACAATTCAGATTCTTGAAAAGCATCCTGCAACCCAACATTTTCTGCTTTCAAATGCAAGGGGCTGCACTTCTATTACTGTCAAACTTCCACAGTGCAATGTAAGGTATACATACCATAATTTTGCATCTGAAAGAGGGAAGAAAACATGTACTTTAGTGTATAAACATCTCTACTGGAGATGGCAAAACTAAAAACCATATATTGTGCATCAAACACTGGCACTTCCTCTTGGGTGACTGTGTAATAGCTTCTGTACCTTTAGTACACAAATTTAAGTGGGACAGTCACTCTGGAATATTAAATATAAACACAAAATTATTGAGAAAGTATTTGTTTGGACTGTTAATTGTTGTGGAATAATTTAATGATAAAGCTTTATTTTTGAGAGTTAGGCTGAGATACAGTAAGAAAACTGTGAGAGGTAAGAATGCAGTCTTTGTTAGTAGTGCAGATGAGCCAAATTACAAAAACTTAAGTAAGAGGTGTAAGCCAGTTTCCATTACACTGGAACTCCTGTATTAGAAGGAACCTTATTTTATGCACTAGACATTATTATTTCCATCCTGCTCTCACAGTTAACACAGTAGGGAAAAGGCAGGAAAGGCGGGGAGTTGGAAGGGTATGTTCTCGCCTATATGAGGAACAGACCTGGTTTAACAAGCAGGCGAAATGAATTTTTGAACTGACTGAAGTTAAACCAATGCTGACTGCATACATGCTCACTTTTGTGTATATTTTACCAAACGCTTCTCAATTAGTCAAGTTTTACTTTCAGATCATCTAGGACTGCTGAAATAAGTATAGCTGCATGAATTAAAAACACGTTAAGGCATTCAAGAAGAATAACATCTTTGGATAGGGACTTTTGGAGGGTATAATTTGCAAGAATAGTATCTGAAAAGCAAAGCCATTCGGTTTTAAGCTGGTCTGCTGGAAGAAATAACGGACAGAAAACATGTTTGTGAAGGATGGTTTAATAGCATCCATATGGGCTACTCCACAGATAAAAAATAACACCTTTGTATTCCCATATCCAATCCATTTGAACACTATACCATTCCTTTCAGCAAATTACAGCTTCCATTACAGAGCTGTAAGTGACCAGCTCTCCAGCAAATAGTATAATTTACTTTTTTGGTTTTTGTATTTAACAGGAAAAATCTGAACAACAAAGGGAACCAGCAAGACAATGCATGAAATTGCAGGCAGGTGAAACAACTCCAAAGAAAGAACCTCTGAACTAAGTATCACTTTCTTCCAGTAGAAGAAACCACATAAACAACTAAAACAAATTTATACCTTATAAATGTTCACTTTTATTCAGAAACGTTTTGCATACACATTTCCAGAGTCACTTAAGCAACATATTGAGTGAACTGCAAAAATTTACTGTAGCCTTTTTATCCTTGTAGGTTTGCTACTGAGGTCTATCACTTTTTCTACTTCTCTCAATAGGCTTTCAAATTATTAAGGAGAGTTTTCTAACAAACAATGACTGTAAACATAATAAAACCTGCATGCCATTTTCCTTCTGAAGTTATTAACTTGGCTATTTTTCTGCAATCAAGTAATGACTTATTTTTTACAACCTGACAATCATGTTGTACACATGGACAGTACCTATGACTTGCTCAGGCAATAATTGTTTAGATGGATAAATCATTCATTTATGATACTTTCAATCAAATGAACAAAACCACAGAAAAAGTGGGAACAATTCACTGCACAGTCCTCATTAGCAAGCAAGAGGCCAGGAAATTATTAACAGTGATAGACAGCACTGGAAATTTAGGAACTAACAGATAGGTTTGGCGACTAAATTAGAGTACTTGTTTCCGTAATTTTGTCTGCTATTAGTTTTGTCAGCACTGAACAATTAAAACAATCTCACCAAAATAAACAAAAATATTAGTTTCTGAATATAAAATGCGTGAACACATGGAGTAATATTTTTATGGCTTCTGCAGAGAAAATAGTTATCAGAATTTCTACCTTGCTGTTGTCCCAGAAAGCATGATACAGATTTTTAAGTCTCTTCTTAATGAGATGAAGTAGTTTAGAAGTATCCCAATTTTAACATGCTAATCATATTGTGCCGGAAGTGAGATGGAGAGGTGTAACTGGGAGTCAGAAGAAAGAGTACACTGCATTCAACACGGTCTTCCTTCACAGCAGAAAACATCTTTTTGTGGGAAGGGCAATGCAAATGAAAGTCAAATAAACTTAATCGAGGCATGACTCTGCTGCATAAATCAAGGACTTAATAGGTCTGGAACAAAACCACCCAGCCCTGCTTCACCT